AGTGCTAAGGATGTTCTGAGGGATGCCATTCTAGAGCAAAATTCAGCTAGAGAAGATGATAATACTTCTCTGGAGACGAAACCGCTGTCCGTGGTCGTTACTGGTGACCCTGGAGTTCCTCAGGCCCTTATCCCTGGAGTTCGTTCCGTGGATGCAAGAGCTATTGGCTCTCATATTAAAGAAAGAGGAGAAGAAAACATCCCAGACTTGGTTCAAAATTCATTCGAACTCCTGATAGCTTCCTTGAGGCACAAATATGCAGATATGTTAAAAAGAATTTACATAAAGTGCTCAAGGAAAGAGACTAAAGCAGAGTTGCAACACTATGAATACTTTTCTGAATTCAGGGATAAAGCCCTGTTGTTGGAAGAGAAGAACAGGGCAGTAAGGAGAGGAAAGTACAGAGATTAAGACAAGAGGGGGTGGAAGGAAAAAGGGGGCTCTAGGAACAACCCTCAGCATTCAGTGGTCGGAGTCAAGGGAAGGACACTTTCCGGTAATGATGAGGGAGGTACAAACAGACAAGTTTTGCTTCTGGACAGTTGGTATGATCTTCAGGTTTGGAATATGAAAGAACTTGATGATGCTCACAACTTAGCTTCCAAGCATGATGGTCCTGTTTCATTCATGAAAATCCTTATCAAGCTGTAGGGGCATGATTTCCTGTTTTCTGAGAAGTCAATGGACAAAAACAATACTTCCATAGAGTTAAATGGGAACAGTTCTGTGGGATATTTGATTGATCTTTGGAATTGTATTGTTATGTATCTGAAAGAGCTTGGGGTTAAATGGGACTTGAAGCTGGCCAACAAGTATTTTATAGAAGCTACTAACAGGGATCAACTGCAGGTTTTTATTCAATTAGCAAAAATATTTCATACTGGTGTCGGGCTCAAAAAGAAGGTTCAAATGGCAACTGCCTTATACAGATTAGCAGCAGGACATAGATCATGGAACTCTTCTTCTGGTTGGGCATTTGAGTCATATTTGAAGGGGGATAGAGAGAAGGTTGTTCTCCTTGACTCAAAAATTGCAGGGTTGAGGAGTATGTGCCTGGGAGCATCGGGCAATGACACAGATGCAGCCAAGTTGCCTATATGCGCATGGATTCACCTTGCAAAGTGTTACTACTATCTAGCCATAGAAAATGATCCCGTAGCCGAGTTTCCTGTAACACTGGTTTTTGCAAGCTTATGGATAGGAACCAACCAGTGGCGGACCCAGAAAGTTGTAGCCACGGGGTCCCTACCCTTTTATATCTCTAATCTCTAATTCATATAAAACTAATAAAAATCCTCATGTTGTTCAGGTATATTATAAGCCAAATTAGCTTCACTTTCATCAATTACTTGATCCAATTCTTCATCTATTAATGGCGAATCATTTGAATTAACACCTGAACTACTTCCGGTAGTCTGAGTTTTTATAAATTTGGGTACAACACCAAAATATCTTTTCATCCTAAATAGTATAAAATTGAAAATAACATTTATAAATACATACATTTATTAATTTAATCTAACATTTAAAAACATGAGAAGATGCATAGGTCTAAAAAAACATAGGCCAAAACGACGTAGTTTTGGTCTATCTAATTAAAATAGTTTTGAAAAAAAAAACAGATCCCAGGGGGATTCGAACCTGATACCTCCAGGTACCATGGAGGCCTTAAACCCGCGTTTGCTCCCGTTTGCCTGCTGCGTTTTTTTGGTTCTTAGGTGGTTTTTTGTGTAAATATACATGTAAAAATTAATTTTATATAATATACATATAATATATATAGGTAATTTTTTCGAGCTGCACGGGGTACCGGGACCCCGTGGGACCCCGTGGGACCCTTAGTGGGTCCGCCTATGGAACCAACTATGCTGACAGCTTCCTGGTTGCTATGATCGACTCATTGCCAGATCTGTATAAAAAAATGGAAACATGGGGGGTGATGTGTTAATGGAAGAAGGAAGTGCCACAATTCTTCATCTCATTGTTTGCTGGTTAACAGTATTTTACATATGTGACTTTCAACGAAGGCAGGCTGCAGCCGTTGCTGGTGAGGCTGCTCCTTATCCGCAGGATTCTGAAAGAATCAAACTCATGGCTGAGAGACTTAGAAACCTATATCTACTCGTGAAAAGATATACCTTGGAAAGGCTAGCTGAGATATACATAAATATGTGTTTGAACTGTTACAAGGACTTGCTTAAAAGCTTCGAGTTTGAGGGGATCCTTGGGAATATCTTGAAATGTTACTATGATATGGATTTCAGATCAGAGGCTGTTGGGCCGGTTCTATATACTTTCTGGTTCCCCAATGCAATTAAAAGTTGGGTTAGAGTTTCCTCAGGTTATGACAAACTTGAGGTCAAGTTTCGGGGAAAGATGTTGGAACCAAAGCAAATGTTACAACAAGAGATGCTGCTGCAGGGAGATTCCAACTTTCTTAACATTATGGAGCATTATGCCATCATGTCTGTACATTTGCTCAACCCTGCTGTGACCAACTCAAGGATGAGGGTTCAAGAAGTGAAGCTCCTAGCTCAGAAACCAGTGAGATACTGGGAAGGTAGAGGCGCCAGGATGAAGATGAAGTGGAAGATCAAGGCTGTCTCTTATCACCCACCTTGAGGACAAGGTGGTTGTTCAAGGGGGGAGATATGATAGGGCCGGCTGTAGAGAATAATAATAATAATGATAATAATAGTAATAGATTGATATTAAATAAGTGTGGTATTGTATAAAACAGATTATGGGCCATGTCATAAACTATGGGCTGGCCCGTTAGAATATACTACCTCCGTCCCGCTGAGATTGTCCCATTTTACCTTTTCGGTTCGTCCCACTAAGATTGTCCCATACCAAATTTAGTAAAATTTGTGTGGCTCTAAATTATTCTTACTTTATTTTTACTTTATCAATTCAATATCAACCACATACACCACTTTTTATTAATTTGCATGACACTCCCTCTTGTCCCATTGTTAGTGAGACGGAGGGAGTAATTACTACTCCTTCCGTCCCATTTATATTGTCCCGTTTTACCTTTTCGGTAAGTCCCACTTAAATTGTCCCATACCATATTTGGTAAAGTTTGTGTGGCTCAAAATCATTCTTACTTTATTCTTACTTTATCAACTAATATCAACCACACAAACCCACTTTTCTTAAAACTCGTGCCACTTTCTTCCGTCCCAATATAAAAGGGACGGAGGTAGTATATAGGAATGGGAAGGAGGGAATAAGGAGGTTAGGCAGAACGATCGGGACTGGGACCTGGGAGAGACCGAGGCACTCTCGAATTTGCCTCAACCGTATCGTTTCTTTTCAGTTCTTCAATTTCAGTGTTCATATTCAACAATTTCATCGCCAGATTTGATCGTTCCTAACATCACTTAACCGATTAGTGGTTAACCAAAATATTGGTTAACCACTAATCGATTAACCTAAAACCAATTTAAACTAAAAAAGGAAACAATAAAAAGCCTGCCAACTTAAATTAGCAAACCCATCTCCAGAACGAAATAACACATGTTTAGATCTTCACTGTACAAGACTTCATCCTTTGATTCCTTTCGGAATATGAAAAAAAATGTCACTTTGAACGCGACTCTGTAAATATATTAACCATAACTAGATAAGAATTTTAATTAATTGAGAATAAATAAATAAGAAATAAAAATCAAATAAAAATAGGGGAGGTTTAGTTTAATTCTCTGTTGAGCAATTCATCAAATAGAAAGAACTATATGCACGAGTACGGTTTTCATTTTTCCATAAGTAAGACGGTCCTCCCAGGACCAGAGAGTTCCTTCCTTGATGGATTTGACGACGGTGACTATGGCTTTGAAGGATTCCGGCATGAATTCCCAGAGAACAAGCCTTCTAACCGGCCATGGTAGTCTCCTTGGTGAAAGAAAATAGCTCGTGTTTCCCCCAATATCCTCTCTTTAATCTCCGGAAATGTTGACTTTAAAAGGCCCAGCCTTGGTGGTGAGCACCGTCTTCAGTCTTCACCACCACTGGGCTCGAAATCGCCACACATCAACAGCAGTACAGCACAATACGTGAGGCTTTAATTTAGAGCAATACATGCTTCTACATACTTTCAGAAAATAGGGGAAGAAACTAATTCTACGTATATACTCCTTCACTTTTGATGGGTTTCTAAAGGTTTAGCCATGTAAGGCTAGAGGAGAGTGCCAGGCGGCAGGGAAAGTTTTAATGGAGCCAAGGAGAAGAGTTACAGAAAGTCAGAACATTGGAAATACGAAACATTACTATTTTTTCCAGTTATCGGTTAACCAGCAATAGCAAATTTCATAACCGTAATTGGACCATGAACTATTATTCCATTTAATTGGTTAACCGTACCACGATTTTTTGATGAATTCGGTACGGTTAACTAGAAAAACAACGGCTTTTTTTATATATGGTTAACAGTTAATGGATTTTTGTGTCCACCCCTACCCATGGGCGGCCAAATATGTATATTGCCAGTTGCCACTTTACTATTCATATAGGCATCTATAAATAAAAACAGTAACAGAAAAGCCAATTGACAACAAACTACAGAGGTTATCCAAGTAAGGATGTTTTTACTTGGACAGTACTTTGCTGGTCTGATCTGGTCTGATCTGGTCTGAACTGGTCTGGTCACGTCTGGTTCCTTTGTATTTTTATAACAATCCAAGTCTGGTCTGGTCTGAACCGGTCTGGTCTGGACTGGTCTGGGACAGATTACAGTCCAAGTAAAAACATCCTAACTATGCCTTCTTAACGGTGAAAGGTTAATGGGCAGAAAATGTATTCTGCAGAACAAGGTGGAAGGCAGCTTCAGCCGCGAGTTAAAGTCTCACCCGGACTTTCACTTACAATTTTGTAGTTCACAATATTTTCCATTACAGGTCATATGGAAAAACCGAAAAACAAAATATGACAACTTCACAAGTCAATTAAGCAGCAAGATTCGCCCCTTTTGATAATTTTCAATGGAATACAGGACATACCTTGAAAGTTTATATGCTCATTTATCATCCCTAGCATCACAGTGGCACGAGCCTTGTGCAAGTATTGCAGCAAAAGGTCATAGGAATACTGTTGATATACGAAAAAATAGAGCAGTAATTACTAATTAATGTCACGGGTACTTATAGGGGGAAATAGGCTAGGACTAACCATTAGAAAACTTCAATACTTTTATTGAGAAACAAAAATGGAATATTGCTGGGGTGTTGGATAGCATTAGTAAAATTCTTAAGACATACTTGTAGGATTTAGTTGAATCACATGAATATATCAGACTTTTGGAAGTATCAAGTTGCTTTATGTGCATTTACATTCATTTTATTATGCTAGAGATGCTTCCAGCCTTCCATAATACAAATATAAATGTATAACCACTATGTTTACTGCCAGAAACTTCTCTAACTGCACGTATATAAATGAATGTCAACAACAAAAGGTGGATGTTGCAAACGTAGAAACTCATATTCATTTGGCATGTCTTGTGACACTATCCTACTCTTCTTAGAAATTTATTTGGGCATCACGTTACTAAGGATAGCATTATAAAATAGCAGAAACTCCATATTCATAAAGGGATCGAGGAAAAACCTGGCACATTTTTATGTTCACTTTGCTTTGCCTTAAAGAATGAGCAAACTCCATTTCCTACATAGTAGAAGAAAACAGTATTTGTACTGAAAATTACTAAATTCAAACACACCAGCACGCAAATGTATTGTGCCAAGGACAAGATGATATCATGCCTCTAGATGTGATGGTGACAGGACAGCTTCTAGTTTCTGGAGATCACGCAGGTGAATCATCTCGTGGTCTTCTCGGAAGCGATTAAAAAATGCTCGGGCTGGAGAACAATACGTTATTCGGGTAACTCTAGAAAATCCATGAAAGCTCTTATTTTGTTATATAGACAAAAACACAAACAAAAACTTGGGTTGAAATATACCTTCTTGAACGTGACCTTTAGCCACAAGATCCATGAAACAGTGTATGAATACAGGATAAAGTACACGAAGCAACTCATGCTGGATGATTGAGATTTTAACAAAACCATTGATCAAAATGCAGGGAGAATGAGAGACGCTTAAAAGAGAATGATATTAAAGGCGGGACAAAGACAGGTAATCAATATTCTTTATCATTTATTCACTTATTGTGAAGACTGAAGGTTATAACAATTCTTTTCCACAATGAATCATTCATGGAGCAAGAAACAGATGAAAAATATATAATACGTGATGTTGAACAAGAAACTTTTATCATGAGATAAGAAAATGGGAAAATCTATGTTTATAAACAAATAAGAATAATATTTTAAATAATAATAATAATAAAAATACAACAGAAAAAGAAGAGCATCTAAACTGGCTAAGACACAAACAATGCAAATCTACCAGATAAGAAGATTACTGTAGATAGGCAGCTAATGTGTAAAAGGGGCAGGCTGGTATTTGGTAGTTAGACTGGGACTGGAGAGTTGACACTCTTTAACTGTCATAAACATTCTCACTCATTTCTGTTAATTGACTCCCTTCTTGAAAGTGTTAATACATTTCATTTCTATTCTTCTTCTTGAATTACTCTGTAATCAGTTAGTTACCTATTAGTGGTATCAGAGCACCGTTCATGTTACCTGTTCATGGTCGCCACAAGAGAAACGATGGAAGCTAGGCTGGAAAACATGGAACTTGAACTGGAGAAGAGTCGCGAAGAGGTGAGGCGTGATAAAGCTGAATTGTGCAAGTTAATCCTGCAGAGAAATGAGTGGCACTCGCGCGAAAGATCAAAAACGTCCAAGAGAAGTGCTAGGAACGACAGTCGGGATTCATCATCATCTGAAGGTAATCGCCGTTCTTTATCTTCTAGGCGCGAAGATGATTATAATAAGTGGATTGAAAAATCTGGCAGAAAAGTGGATTTACCACTTTTCAATGGCCACGATGCGTATGGTTGGACCATCAAGGTTGAACGCTTCTTTAAAATGAATCGCATAGCTGAAGAAGATAAGTAGAAATCATTACTCTAGCTATGGAAGACAAAGCTTTAAAATGGTTCCAATGGTGGGAAGAGCAAGCCATTGTGAGGAATTGGGAACAGTTTAAAGCCGCACTGATTATAAGATTTCAACCTGGGCTTGTACAGAATCCCTATAGCCCCCTGTTAAGTGTGAAGCAGACAGGAAGTGTGATGGAATATAGAGAACCATTTGAAATAATTGTAGCACCATTAAAGCAAACTGATGTGGGAATACTTAAGGGGATTTTCTTGAATGGATTAAAGGACGAAGTGTGAACCGAATTGAAATTATATCCAGTTAGAACTCTAGCTGAATTAATGGATAGGGCTCTGTGAGTGGAAGAGAGGAATATCACTCTAAAAACAGGAAGAAATAGAGAGGATGATAGAAGGGGGTGGAAGGAGAAGAATGGTGCAACCAATTCTATGGAAGAGAAGGGCAATGAGACACTACAAATAAGAATGCAGGAGTTAGAGGAACACACAGGTTGTTTCAATCTGAACTACAGGAATTGAGCAGAAAGGGTCTTTGTTTTAAGTGTGGAGAACAATGGGGAAAAGGACACATTTGTAAAATGAAGCATTTCCAGATAATAATGTTGGATGAATCTGAAGAAGAGGAAGAGTCATAAAATCCTCTGGAATCATCTTCAAAAATGGAGGAGGACGTTTCCAGTTTTAGGGGATTACAACCCCTAAAACTTTTAAGTTGAAAGGAAAATTATTAAGTAGCAAAGGAAGCAGAACCATCATCATCCTTATTGACTGTGGGGCCACTCACAATTTTATTTCAAAGAAAGTGGTTCAAGCAGTAGGACTACATGTACTCCATATTCCAGAATTTAGGGTAGAAATAGGAAATGGAGACATAATTAGCAATAATGGTAGATGTGAAGTTGTATCAGTTAGAATACAACAAACTGATATCATTCAAGACCTTTATGTCTTAGAACTGGGTGAGACAGAGATGGTTTTGGGAATGGAATGGTTAGCTGGGTTGGGAGATGTTGAATTCAATTTCAATCAGCTAAGTATCAAATGGAGGGAGAAGGGTAAGGAAATGAAGTTCCAGGGAGATACCAACCTCAGCAGAAATCAAGCTTCCTTAAAATCTATAATCAAAACTATTCAAGGGCACGCAGAAGGGTATTGTTTGTTTAGTACTGAAATAATTGAAAACAAGGAGGAAGGAGAGAAAGAAAATACCCGGGTAACAGAAATAACTGCAGAATTTTCTGAAGTTTTTCAGCCTCCACTTCTAAGAAAACAATTATCAACTGCAGAACTACTCCGTACTTTTTATCTTTTTTAAGGACTCAATGACTCATATTTTTAGGATAGAACAATGACACTCTTATTTATTCATATCACTCAAATTCTACTCCTATTTCTAATAACTTCTTAACATGTAATTCTCAGGGAAATCAGTTATGCCTAACCGCTAAAGTTTAGTGACCTGGGTTAAACAGGTAGCCGTAGTCATCACACATTACATATAGTTATTACATATAGTTTTTAATGAAGTTGTTCATTAAAAAGAGTACTTTTTTATAGACTAGCAAACACTGGCGTCAAAATGCCATCAAATTGAAACTTCAACAAAGTTTATCTGCGGCATTACGAACATGCAGCTTTGTACGGAGGAGAACAAACCTTGTACAAATCCAGAGAGCTATCTGCCCAAGACCGAAGCTTGCTGTACTCGTCATGGTACATTGCTGGAATATTTTCTAATCTGTAAACACAGGAAAATAAGTCGTAAGCCTCATAAAAAACATCAAAAAGAGAAAATGAGTGGAGTAATAACACTCTCTAATAGTTCATAAAAGAGGAAGATAAACCTACTGATGGAGAGAGAGAATCTGTTTGGCAAGAGGGTCAGTTTGGGAACTATCTGAGGAGTTGGTGTTGGATAGAGATGAAGAGTTGCTGATGCTTCTGCTTTGCTTCTGCTGCTCCTCCTGGAATGCAAGCTCCGTTTGCTTGAAACCCTTCTTTTTCAGATATGCTATCACCGCTTTTTCAATTTCTTCTTCATCCATATCGAGATTAACCCTTAATGTATCCTTAGTAAACTCAAACAAAGCATGTAGTCTCTTGCTCTCTCTCTCTCTCTCTCAAACCCCAATTAATCACATCGAACAAAGCGATGTCTTCAACAAGACAGTTCCACTCTAACAAGGCGCGGCAATGGCGAATAATTTCTGCTTGGTGGGAAGAAATGAGGGAAAACCGGGTAAGGGTATATCAAAAATATCAGTGCCTATACCGTGCAATGGGGTGGAAGCTGGTCCGATTTATCCAGGTCCACCCTTTAATTTTTAGTACTTTTGTTGTTAGAAAAATTTCCATACATTTAATCATTTATTACATTTTGATCGGAGTTTAAGAAAGTTGTAATAAAGTGGAAATGTATGATTGTGATTGAGTAAGAAAAAGATAAATGAATGATAGTCACACAAAACTTTCCAAAAAGGGAAGTGGTAACTATTTTTTTGACATCCTAAAAAGGAAAGTGATAACTATTTTATGGGTCGGAGGGAGTCAATACACATTTCCATATCATTAATACTAATTTTTGAAATTTAAAAAGTAAAGTATGGGAATGTATGGGACACTAAAAAAATTATATACGATCAACTTAATGTTGATATATATAAACTTAGATCTTGATTTGGCACCCTATCGATTGGTTGTGCCGGAGCAAGGCCAAGGCAACTGCATAATTTTCGAAGATGTTATGCAAAGACTTTTAGTTTGTAAGCATCCCTATATATATGGGGCATGCAGTCCAATGTTTTGAGAAATCCGATTCTAAATATCACTTTGAGGCCAATCGAACTGATATGACACCTTATCGGTCGTGCGGGTGCATGCGGCAGTGGAGGCAATTGTGTAGTTTTGAGATTAACTTTAGCTTTAACTCCTTTAAGTAGCTTTGAGTAAAGATTTTGTTTTTTGCACAGGCTCTTAAACCCCCCCAAAAAAGTGAATGACCCATATCTATATCAACATTTATTGACGATGGCCCAGGCTAGAGGTGTAGTCGTATAGAGTGTTTGCCTGTATTATTATTAACCTACGGATAATTGTATGATTTGGTGTACATTTGCCTGTATTTGATGTGACATTTTTGAGCGGGGAAAATGCCAAATTTTCCACTTGCTTTTATATAGAGATAGATAGGAGGTCTTCCCCTCCATGTAAAGTGTTGGATCTTCTCTTCTTCTTACCCCCATTTTCTCCTCCTCTCTATATAATAGATTAGCTAGCAACCTCCATTAATGGGAGCTTCAATATTTGTACTATGTAATGGTGAGGAGAGACTAATGAGAATGAGAGTGGCTTGAACATTAGCCTAAGAACTCGGGTTTTAGCCCAAGCGCGTGCTTATACACTTATATATGAATATATAATTGCCCAGTCGTGCGGCCTTGTTACCATGTTTATTGTGCAGTCAAACCCGTTCGATATGCTCGAATGGGGAGATCCATGATGTTCGGCATGAATCGAAGACGTACATGGCCGGCTAAGAGAAGAAGGAATCACAATCATGTGTGTGTCATGGCACATAAAAGAAGTCCTACGGGTCGTGTGAAGTACCAGCATTCGAGTCACGTTGAATGGCAAACAATCTGGCATTTGCCGCTCGGCACTTGAGGCATGCATAATGAGATGAGGCCATCTGTAAGCTTACACTTCTCAATTGACGACGTTCGAGTTAAAACTTCTCATTTTTATTTTAGATTTTTGTTTTGGCAAAAGGCAACTTGATCAAAGTTTTGTTGGTGGTACATCATAGCTTTGTGGAGGTATACTGAACGCTTAAATAATTGCACTATCCTTCTGTAGTTTACCTTTAAAACAAAACGTCTGGCATCCTTCCCGTCAAAAAAATTCAGGTAGCTTCCCATTAACAGTCTCACCCAATCAACTTATCTCCTCATATCCCATCTCCCACCGTGTTTAAACACATTGAACCTGTTACGAGCTTATAGCAGATTAATTAAGTTACACGCTAAGCATAGACCTCGCCCTAGGAATTCCGACACATGTTTCCCTTCATCTTCTCCCGTTCTGGTAAGTTATTAATATCGTTAATATCGTTTCTCTTAGTGATATTGATAATTGCGTTAAAAGATTTCAATTGAATATACCATTGAAGCTCGACCGCAACCCTCAACTTTTTCAATTCAACATGCCAATGAAGAAGCTCTTTCAACTTCAGCTCCCCATCTTTTCTTTATAAATCTGTTTTCCTCACTTTGCAATTTGCAAAGGTCCTCTTCCGCTCCTCGCCCCTATTCTCCCAGTAAGCCTTTTACCCGTTGCTATTCATTTAGTGCATGCTTTTCTTCACCTTATTTGCTATCTAATTGAGTATTTGCTTGTATTGGCTTTGTGAAACACATGTATGCGCTTATCATACGTTTTGTCTGTGTGGAACGAATGGGGCTAAGTTAACTGTTAAACTTTTTCTTTTCCAGCAGTCCTCAAATCAATATTGATACGAGTTAAACATTTCTCTGGAGAGTATTGTAGAAATGTCTTGGTCACACTGTTAGTTGTTATATTTTTTTGGATTGCTTCCACACTTTAGTATGCATTTTTATATGATATATTTGTAAAAGTGATAATGTATTTCCATCTTGAATGCTTATCCCCTTTCGAGTTCATGTGAACCATCAGTATGTGCCAAATTACTATCCTACTGGTGTTGATTTGTAGGAAAAAAGAACAGCGGTATTGAAGCAGACTCAGTAAAATCACTATTATATACAACTAAGACAAACAAAATAAGCAATGAGTTGAAAGAAAGGGATCACAGATGAAAATAACTATATGCAAGTTAAGCAGTTTTTAACCAAGCAGAGAAGTATAACATAGGTTAGTACTTGGCTACTTGCTACTAAAATTAATGTGGTGTTAAGGATCTGGGAGCATAATTGCCGTATTGAATATTTCAACAATACTATCCACATCCTAAGCAATAAAAGATAACCTAACCATACAAAATATTGCTTATAGAGTTACAGACTACCATCCATTGCTCTAAAAGTATTTGTAGAAATGCCTTTATGTCACGCCCCGGACCGCATCCGTGCCGCGTAGACAACCGCCGTACAACCCAATAAGAACAACGTAGTTCATTCTTATTAAATCATACAAGGCGTCAGTTAGATTTTATCGCCAAACCGATTAGTAAACCCATACAATCAACATCAATATATATTAGTCAAACAAATGCGGAAAATAAAATATGTTTGATAGTTAGCCACACGTGGCAAACATGAGCACGCAGGCCCTTCAATAGTTTAATAGAAAACATTGATTCAAGCAGGCCCTTCAATATCCATGAGCGATTACATTGTTTCAAATAAGAATGGAAGCACGAATCACGTCTTCTTTATTTGATGATCACCCTAGGCAAAGGTGCAGGAATAGGTCTCAAGCCTTAACCTGAAAAAATGTGAGGCCCCCGAAGGGGTCAGTACTCCATAGAAAGTACTAGTGACAAGAAGGCTATATGAGGAATAACTAATGTTTCAGACACGAGACCCAAAAATAGGATGATACATATATTTATAGTTGTAACCATTGTTACCCCATCCCCAAGATAGTACATACCATATATATTTGTAAAATACTTGACCCGTAGGTCGTTTTCTCACAAAGAGTCTTTTAGAGATAAGGTACTTACCCAACCTTTCTCATTCATTCCGGAATGCCTAGCTCGCAAGCTACATTCTACCTTCATAATATCCTACCGAGTTTCAGGAGTGTTTACCGTCCCGGGGATACTCAACCCCAACCGAGTTTTAGGATCATTTACCGTCCCGAGGATGCTCAACCTCAACCGAGTTTTAGGATCATTTACCGTCATGAGGATACTCAACCTCAACCGAGTTTTAGGATCATTTACCGTCCCGAGGATACTCAACCTCAACCTTATTCCGTACCAACCTTAACCTGGATATGGCTAACCTTTCATTCACTTAAATATGGACAATACCTAGTCCTGTAGTCATATGATAATCCTCAATAAACAACGTGGGCGGGTCCCACCCGAACGGCCCTCATTATATTCGTTCAAAACTGACTATTGGGTGTAAAACTCAATACTCGGTCGAGTACCTACCTGTATACGGTCGGGTATAGGAGGCAGTAGCCTCCCAGGGCTATTTTCAGTTAATACCCGGTCGAGTATTTGTCAATACCCGGTCGGGTACAACAGTTGACTTGGCGGTCAACGCCCGTTTGACCGCCCAAACGAAGTCCGATTTCCGTGAAATTTTACATGCATGTACATCATGACGTCCTTAAGCCAAAAATACCTATTTGGGTCCTTGGAACATCATGCACATCAATTTATAATATTATCACTAATCAAACATACATATCATGCTTTTCAACAATGTTATATTCTTTAATATGACATATCACATGCTTTAATACCATTAATCAATTTATAAAACATATTCTTGGTTACTTTAGGTAATCTCATGCCTCACGCAATAGTTATAAAGCATATAGCCATCTTCTCACCTTAAAAGAAGCTTATGAAGTTCTAGCCTTTCCTATTGAGCTCCGGTGAAACTCCGGCGAACTTCAACTAACTCCGGCTACAACTCCGGCGACCCTTTCAACTCCGTGAAAGTTTTTGAAATACCTTATACAAGTTAATAACAAGGTTTTATCATCACAAAACCCATATCAATACAAATAACCTCTAAAAGGTTATTTTCCGGCGAACCCGCCAACTTTGCTCTCAAAGTTCGTTTTGGGTATAAACCAACCCTCCAACTCCCATTCTACACTTTTACATGTGTAGAACTATCCTAGGAGTATGAAATAGGATTAAAGAGAGGAAATGGGATTAATGAAGTCATTACCTTATTAACCACAAGTTTTCCTTCTAACTTCCTCCTTCCTCTTCTCCCTTTTTCCTTCCTTCTTCTTCCTCTTCTTTTTGTGCGAAAATGGCTGGAGAGATGGAGTGGTTCAGGGCTTCTTACTCCCTGGATGATGAGTGATTCGCATGGATGAGGGTTATGGGTGATGGGAATGGCATTTTGGCTTATTCACAATTATATGGGAGAGGGTCCCCATTTCTCTTCTCACTTTGTCTCCTCACCACTTCCTCATTGTTTCCTTGGCTCAAAATGGTGTTATCCCTATTATTTTGCAAGATCAAAACGTGGGATGGACCCTACATTTGTGGGAAGTCATCCCTTTGTGTCCCCAAGTGTGTACACTTGGTCCCGAAAGTTGTATTTTCCGGACTCTTTTAACTATATTTCA